GCTAACAAGCATGCTGGGACATTAACTCTACTGACTATTTTACGGGAAAGATTTTGGATAGTGAAAGGGAAAAGAACTGTCCGGAGTGTTATCAAAGAATGCTTAACATGTAAAAGGCAAAAGGTAAAACATCTTGAGGTACCTTTTCCGCCTCTTCCAAAAGACCGAACAGAAGTAGCAGCAGTTTTTCAAGTATCAGGTGTAGATATAGCTGGACCTCTGTTGACTAAATCTAAACAAAAGGTGTGGATAGTACTTTTTACTTGCGCCGTATTTAGAGCTGTCCATCTTGAGCTAATACCTTCACTGAGTACCAACGACTTCATCCAAGCTATGCGTAGGTTTATAGCCAGAAGAGGACGAATTTCTGTGATGTATTCAGACAATGGTACTAATTTTACAGGACTAAATAATGCTCTGAAACAATTAGATTGGACTACAATTGAAAGTGAATTTAGAGTCAACGAAATTCGTTGGAAGTTTAACCCACCCTCCTCTCCATGGTGGGGAGGCTTCTGGGAACGCTTGATTGGGATTTTGAAAGATCTTTTGAGAAAAAATCTTGGACGCTCCTGTTTGTCTTACGAGGAATTGCAGACTCTCGTCTGTGAATGCGAATCTATCATGAACAGCAGACCGTTAACTTACATATCCGAGGAACAAGATCTGAAGACCTTGACCCCCTCAATGTTTCTTCAGGACATTCCATTAAATGATGTTCCTGATTTGGATCAAATTGAAAAGACTAATATTGTTTTGAGATGGAGACATATTCAAAAGGTTCGTGAAAATCTAAAACGAAGGTTTAAAAGGGAGTATCTGGGTTTCCTTCGTTCTTCAGTTAACAAAAGAGAAGATAAAATAAATGTAGGTGACATAGTGTTAATTGGTACAGATGATAAAAAAAGGCTCCATTGGCTGCTAGGGAGAGTACTGGAACTCTTTCCAGGAAAAGATGGAATCATCAGACTTGTGAAACTGCGAACTGAAAAGGGAAACATATTAAGACCAATCCAACGACTGTATCCTTTGGAATTGACCCCAAATTACGAGCAAGTCGTATCGGAACCTCAGAAGGTTCCGGAAGTGGTAGCTGAAAATCCTGAGCTTAATACTGACTCTAATGAAACTGTTCGCGTGTCTCGCTCAGGACGAAAAATAAAACCAGTTAAAAGACTGGATTTATAAACTTCTAAACAAACTTTTGAACTTTCTGTGTTTGAACTCTAAAATATTGATTTCAATTTGCATTCTAATATTTTGAAATATTTCTATTATTATTATGTACGTTATTGTTATTTCAAAATTGTATGTATGTATTATCATTATATTACTGTTTTGAGTTTGTATCCCCAAACTCAAGGTGGGGAGAATGTCGCGCGCGCCACTATCGAACTCCATGAGAGGTAAGTTTCTCTGTTACGGAATGGCAACGAGAGAGATTGTTGTTCAAAAGATGGATGATCGAACTGCGTTGTAACGATCATTTTTGAGGATGTTGCGTACTGTAAAATGAACTTATTACACTGTGCTAAATAGTATTAAAATGCTATATATTAAAAGATCTTTCATCTGATCTAAATTTTAACAAACCGCTCATTATTTTCTCTCTTAAACTCACAATGTTCACGACAGATTTTACCTTTACAGTTTTTGTAAGTTTTTTAATAAATTTATAAAATTACTTAAGTAACCTCTTTACTTTTAATATTTTATGCTGGTAAAAAAATTTTTTTAATTTCAGTCTTAACAAAAAAAAAAAAAAAAAAAAAAATGTTTTCCATCAATAAATGAAATTTATTAGTGCTCAAAGAAATTTATTAGTGCTCAAATTTCATCTCTCCACACATGATTTCCAGCATAATTTGTTTTATTAAATTTTATTTTATCTGAATTGTCTCAATACATTGCAGACATTTGTAGAACTTAGATTCAAAAAATGTTTAGCTCCAGCAGAGGCCGAGTTGTTAAAGATTGCCAGATGCCAGTAGTGTCACCAGAGCTCAAACCAGGACGGTTATTCTACGCTACGAGAGTCGACAGCAAGTTGTGGGCCGCCAGATGTCGCTGCTAGTAAAAAACAGGTCTGCCCAACATCCTATATTCTCTGGTACGGAAGTTGTCGAAAGCGCGTGAAAAAGGTTGCCGCGTCGTCAATCAGGGTTGTCCAGTTGAGACTAAGTAGACATGGCTTTGTATGTGTTTTCGCCGCTGATGTTTTTCATATTTAAACGAAGAATACCGTCGTAGATCTAATCGATGGCGAATTTAGAAAATATTTGATTCTTTTGCTCTGCCAAAGATGTTTTTCATTGCGTGTTTCAGATTCCAAAATTTATAGTTATTTTATTTGGGATAACTGAGAGAGTATTTGGAGCCACATTCAGAAACAAGAACGCAATTTCACTGAAAGAAAGGTTATACTATTCCTGAAAATTATAGATATAAATTGTAATTGTACGCTTTAAAAATGTAGAAGATAATAAGTTTATCAAGCACATAAACCTTCTTCATTTAATACAAATATAACAATCCGATACTTCTACTCGTTTATGTACAGCAAGAATTACGTTTACTTTAAAATCTAACATTGAATACCTTACGAATAATCTGTGAACACAAAAAGTCGTTCATTTTACGCAAATTCACACTAAATAACAAAATATAAAAAAATAATAAATATAATAATTATAAACTATAAAATAGATTATAATATTTTTTCAGTAGTTTAACTACTACTAGTGTGATTCTTTTAAAAATAAGTTTTAGCCCAGAGGGGCTATTAATTTCGTTTTGCCATTTTGTGGGTTTCAGATAAATGGCGTTTCATTTTCAATCGTTGCCACCAAGTATTATCGCACTCTGATATTTAGAAATTAAATAATGAGGAATCTGCGAATGGATGAATTTTCTCGCACTGTGATAAAACAACGGTACCAGAGCCATGAATTCTGAATAACTTTTATCTCCCATCCTAATATAGGCATCTGAGGCCCAAATTTGGAACTGGGAATTTGTATTACTATCCATTTTCATATATCCTATTTTGTAAAGCATTTATGAGTTTTTGATTAAGAACCCACGATTTCAAAGCGAGCAATGGCAAAACACTTTATCTCTAGCGCGCGAGACTATGTATCGAAATTCTAAAAATATGTTTTAAATTATTGATATTGCGTTGAATTGAATTTTATGGTTAAGTGCGAAAACATGATATTTAATAAATAAAGGTAACACGCAAAACGTAAAAAAATGCCCTTTGGGAGTAATATAAAATCTGAAAGCTTTCAGATTTTTTTTTTTTTTGTGTGTGTGTGTGTGTGTGTAATTTTAATATGTTTTTTAAATGGTTTCTAAGTGGGACTTTCAAGGGAAACTGGCTTATACACGTTACACATGGGGAAAAGCCACGAAAACGCCGTCCAGCTCGTTGCGGGATTGAATCTCGGACCAAACTACCTGCGTTCAGCGACTCTACCGCTCGCGGCTGGTGGGCTTGTTAGCAAATATACTGTATTATTATTGTATTATGCTATAAGTAACAATGCTAAAGACTGAGGGTTTTTCTGGAATAGTAATTTTGTAACCTATTATAGTATAAAAAATCATTTTTCCTTTGCAAACTTAAAAAAAATAAATAAATAAAATAAAAATACTGTTCATAGCATCCATTTTTTATCTGAAAAGATATTGATTATTAGTTTTCTATTAAATGTGTCGAACGCTGGTTTGATAAGGACTTGAACTGCAGGACCTACACTGATTATTTTTACTTTATACTCCATTGTGAAAATATTACTATCTTTTAATTATTTTCACAAAAAAATCTTTTGAGAAGGAAGAATATTTAAACTGACAGTTCTTATATACAAAATTAAAATACAGCAATGTAATATTGAAAAAAGGTATTAGTAATTGTGTGACAAAAATTGCAAACGAATTAATCACACATACAGGAAAATTGTTTTAATTTTTTATGTTTTTATATTGAAAAAATATTTTCTCATGTTAATTATAGAATAAATTATTTAAAATAAGCATTTTGATGCGTGTGTAAATTGAATGCAGCAGCAATCGGCCATACTGTATAGCGAATAATTTTTTATTTCTTTTCTGAAAGAAATAATTTTCATAGAAAAGAAAAAGGAAGAAAATTTAAGAAGAATATTGTCTTCTAATTCTTATTTAAAGAAATATTTTCGATAGTAACTGTAAAATAAATTGCGGATAACAGTTTTAATGTAAACATGGGAAAAAAAAAAAAAAAAAAAAAAACTTTGCTATTAGATTGTATGGCAAATTATCATTTATAAATTAATAATTAAATTGTTTATTTTTAAGGATTGAAGTAAGCTTAATTCATTTCTCTTCTATTACCATTGCTTTCATGGTATCCCATATCACTCTTATTTCTTACCTCTAAATTTGCGTTAACTTTCCATTAAAACGAGATTTTCTTTCACATAACACAGCAGCATATTCTACTGCGTGTTGATCATAATACTGTTTTGTGCAATTTTTTTTTCGAACTACCAAATGCAGCGTGTGAGTTAGTGAAATAATGGGAGAATATTCTTAGAACTTCAGCCAGCGCGCGCTATAAATTTTCGTCACTCGTCTGTACTCGATTGTCTAAAGCTCCTTGAAGCCTTGTCCCCTTCCAGTAAGTTAAATGACCCACCCGCCCTCCCAAGAGGACCACCGAATGGCTTCTCCGATAAGTTGTGATGGCTGTCCATACCGGTTCTTTTGAGTCAATATTGTTCGCTCAAGTTGTAGACAGATCCAGTGATCATAGAATAGGCGTCCAGGTTCATGCATTATAAAGTGAATTTAAGTCAATTTGAAGTACTTCCTTAATGTTTTCACACAGCACAAAAACCTCTTGGAAGCTCTTGCTCATTTATACTTCAAGGCTAGCAGTTATGGTATATCTGTAGCAAACGGTTTTTGGCAATTATTACTTATCATTCCTTTTCTTCTATAAAAAATTGCCAAAATGCACCAGAGTGTTTATGGTAGTATTTAAATATCTATTACAGTTTTCTTCTATAAATAAATTTTTGATTTATAGTGCCCCAATAGAAACGGGATCTCCAGTCACTGAGATTATAACTGATAAAATCATAACTCCAGATGGCCTTGCTGTTGACTGGATTCACGGGAATATTTACTGGACTGATACAGGAAAGAATACTCTTAGTGTTGCTAATTTAGATGGGAAAATGAGAAAGGTGCTGTTTGGCACACATCTCGACGAACCTAGAGCCATAGTTGTCAGTCCTTTGGAAGGGTAAGTTATGCTTCATGTTGGTCTACTTTTAAACATGTGCTGTGATTTCCAATTAAATGTATTTACTGTGTCTTTTTATAAAACTTTGTTTAGCAATTTTATAATATTTTATGTAGCGGGTTTTGAAAAATAAAATCTTTCAGGCAACTTAGTTTTCTCTAAATTTAATCTTCTGTTTTTTTTAAAAATCAGAGTTGCCATTCTTCCTGATAAACTTTTTGACTTTTGTTTCTTTATGCCATCTCTCTTACTCCATCCATATCTCCTGTTATTTCGGCATTTAATTTATCTTAAATTTAGCTCTCCTCTTTCGTTTGTAATTTTAGAAGAATATTAAACTTTGAAGGAAAAGGCAACCTTTTTATGTTATGAAAAAATAGCTAACCTTATTATGTCTTACTGAAATTTAAAGTTAACTCCACCCTCTTTTTTTGGGAGGAGGGGAATGGCTTTTGGTATTTAATTTTGCTTTAAATCTTTCAGTGTTATGTTACTCTTCTTAGTTATAAATTTAATCATATTTTTTAAAAAATGTTTTTTTTTTTTTTTTATAAATGAAAGCTTTTCTTTCGTTCTTGAATTGTTATCAGTGTAAAAGTATCTTTTCTTGAAGGCAGACACTTTGACTTTCATTACAAATGTTAGCGGTCTTTAAACAGTTTAACAAATTTGTATCAAATTCCAACAAAACTGCAATGATTATCATTATTATTATTTTGCTTGTGTGTATGTTATTTTCTGCATTTTTTTTAAAGAAAGTATTGATTGTGATCTTCAAAATAATTCTGTATGGAATTTTTAGGACTTTCTTTTCTTCTTCTTAAAAGGATTTCTTTCTATTTGCTATTTTATTTTATACACTGGTCATCAGAATCAAAGGATAATGAGGAAAAATATGCTTCCTAAGTTAGTGTTCAACCAATTACCATTGTTATAATTATTTATATAATTAAATACAATTGAACACAAAATTGCACTTCCGTGCATATGTTAGTGCTGGAAATATGCAAATATGATGATCGACAATGTGGTGCACAATGGACTTGTGTTGGAATTTCAGTCTGTAGTGTTGTTTAAAGTGAATGTGGTTTTTGAAAAGTGATCAGTATTCATTAGTAATGATGCAATCGGCCGAAAACTAATTTTAGGTGCAACTTGGTCTCATTCTTCGATGAAAAGGTGATTAAGACATCATCAAGGTACAGAAATACAAAATCTAATCCATAAAATATCTCTGTAATGAAGCATTGAAAGGTAAACTGAGCTTTACTGTATCCAAAACTTGTCACATTAAATTTGACGAGACCGAAATTTATTGCTGTAGCAGTGTTTCTAAGGTGTATCATCATCTGCAGTAAGTATCTGGTAATATGCCTTCACTAGGTCAGTTTTAGAAAATATAGTTTCATCTTCTAAAATATAAGGGAAATCTTCATTTCTGTTAGATGGGATACTGATCATGAATAGTCTGTGTGTTGAGACGTCTGTAGTCTTCGATATACCATCTTTCTTACTAACCAAATGGAGGGAGCTAGCCCATTGAGATTTGGATGACCGAATGATGTTATACAGCATGAAATGAAAATCTTGCTTTGCTTTGTTATCTTGTTTAGCTCTTGAGTACATAGTTTTGCATGTAGTAATGATGTAATGTTTAACATTGTGTTTTGCAGCTTTACTCAACAAAGTAGGTTTTGTTAAATTGGGATGTTTGTACAACAGTTTAAAATATTTTGATAACTTGCAGACAGTACTTAAATTATCATTTTGAACGACTGTAACTTACCTATTCATTGAGAGGTTGGTTGTACCATCAATTAATTTTTTTATTAGAGATGTCAATAAACAATTAAAATTTATTTAAGAAATTAGCTCCAAGTATCCCTTTGAAAACGCTAGCCACAGAAAATGACCATTGAAATGGGCAGCGGAGGCCTAGATCTAATGAAAGCATTTTTATACCATAAATGGGTATCTCAGTATCATTTGCTGCATATAATTTGAAGTCACAATAGTTAAATTCAGTTTTAGAAAGGGGTACGATTGACACATGCACACTACTATCAATGAGGAACTGGAAACTTCTTTTTTTACAAGTAGAAAAATTTGCAGTTATTAGATTCCTGTGCAGTAGGATGTATCGCCATATCTACTGCTGAGATTGATTTTCTGAATTGCTCCAAATATGGGGTTAGCCACATTTCTCAGGGAAACACTTTTTACCAAAATGAAAATTATAAAAATGCAACTTGCCTTTGGGATCATATCTCTTACGAGATTTATTCTGTCTTCTTTTCCTGAAAATGACTGTAGCCTAGCTGCTCACACTGCATACTTTCTGTTTGTATTTCAAGTGAAAAAAATTTTGTGATTAATTCATTCATGCCAGCTGGCTTAGCGTGGATAGCAAACAATTCTGGGAATCTTAGAGTAATTTCATAATTTTTTTTTTCATTTTATCCAACCATAGGGGACCAAGCACTTTGTCAGATACATCATTTGATCTAAGTGAACGCATCTTTTTTAACAACTGGCTGGGCGTCATATTACCTAACTCCAGTCCAGTAATTAAATGATTTATTCGCTTGTTCACACTCTCCTTGAAAGTATTCAAAAGGCTTTCCTTTCCTTCTGTGTATTTTTGTTTAGAACTGCCTTTAATAATAGTCCATGTATTTTCTATGAATTGAGGTTCCAACTAGGTGACTAAGTAATTGAATTTTGTGTCTTCTGCCTTAAATTTGCAAATCTAGAACTGGTCTCCTACTTGGTAAAACCTCATTTTGGGCTAATGAGTCCAAAATGGTGGAATTTTGATGGTAACAGAACTTGTCACTACAACGTTTCTTTCAACATGTTAATTGTACATCCAAAGTCACCAAATGTAAGTAAGCATAATTTTTAATAGGTACTTTATTACAGATTCATCAGCTATGTGGTTGTGACAAAAGTTTTCTACCAAAAAACATTCTTAAAAAGGTCTTGATATTAATTTAGGAGTCAAACGATTTATTTGTCAATCAATCAATTATTTTAAGTCAAATGATTAAAAATAAAAGGTCTTGATATTTGAGCAGATTAATGCAGGCTCGAACAACTTCTGTCTTTATCTGCTTGAGTCAGCTCATGCAATTCCCAGCGACTGAAATTGTACATCAAGTTTATCCAATCCATAGTGCGACTAATGGACATGGCACTAATATCTAACTCCTTAACAAGCTCTCCAGTGGTTGCATACTGATCTTTTTTTCTCAAGTTCTCTCAGGCGGGCCTCATCAATATCAGTACGCCAGCCAGACTCTCTACTTTTTGAATGTCATAATCCTTGTTTTTGAACTTTTGGTACCAAACCGTCACAGTTTCATATGATGCAACATTAGTACCTAAAGTTATACACATAATTTGGTGACACTCTGTAGCTGACTTTTTGCAACAGAACTTGAAGTAAATGATGGTTCTAATCTGGTAGCATGATAGTTCCATTTCAGATACATTGTACTTACTGATAATGAAACATTTTTACAATTTCACAACACAGTGTTCTAAAGCAAGTCTCTTTTCTTTCAAATGCCAAAAATCATTTAACAAAATAATGATTAAACATGCCAATGCGAACTGTTTGTCAGATGATATTTACATTGGCGGGAAACTTTCGTTACAACCTGATATACTTTATTATGCATTCAGTCGACCATATAGAGCACCATTCAGTACTAAATTCAAGCAGCCATACTCAACATGCAACATTTTTTGTCACATGGGTAAACTCACAGTTAGGTAAGTTTAGACACTGAATGAATTGCATATCTATTGAAAGGTAAAATGTATTAAAATTTAAAAAAAATTATAAATTAAATCTTAAAAATTATCTGCAGTTATTTAAAAATTAATCTCAATTTCCCAGCCCTTTTATACATTTTATTTATAGATCAACAATTTAAATGTACATCAGTTTTAAATAATCCTTTTATACATCAATTTTAAATGTTATTTATAGATCAACATCTGCTATTACCAACCTAATTTTGGGATACAAAAATTATTATTGGTTAATGCAGCCATCTGGTAAGGGATTTCTCAAATATTTGTTGTCATAATAGTTCTCTTTCTAATGCTACTTTTCCTAATGATTTCTTTAAAATGAGAGCTGTCTTAATTAATAGAAACCCTGTTAATAAATGTTTAATGTATTGTTACTTAGAGACTTACTAAAATGTTGGAGCAGGAAGCATAAAAAAGTATACATGTCCTTGGTGGGATTCTGAACCATGGATCTTCCAGTAAGGGCATGTGTAAGGAAATGTAACAATACCTTATATTCTCTCCCACTTAAAAAGAAATTAATCTGGTACAAAAGTTCTTGTAAACCAAATCCAGAGTTATCATTCATTACGTTTTTTAGTTTGTGTGCCAGTATATAGGCTATTAGGTTTTTTGTGCAGAGGATGTAAAAAATTAATCATGGCAATGTTTAAACCACTGATAGCTGTGTTTACTAGCTGCTTTATGGCATGAGAACATATATGGTGGAATGAATTAACTTCTTACAGTAAGAGTCAAGAAAAAGTGCTTATTACAGTACTTAAGTACTATTATTTTTTACATTCTTATGAAACGGTTTCTTTTCAGGTGGATGTTTTGGGCTGACTGGGGAGAACCATCTAAAATTGAACGGGCTGGCATGGATGGTACTCATAGGAGTACCATTATTTCAAAAGATATTCGCTGGCCTAATGGTTTGACTGTTGGTAAGGAAGCATTTTATTATTTCTCTTCCCCCCTTTTTTTGTGTGTGCATACTTAAGTATAGCATCATATCAGGATTTCAAGATCAATTTATCTACCAAACTTTTGTTTCAGAGTTTTGCAAGTTTCATGCTTTTTTTTTTTTTTTTTTTTTTTTTTTTTAATATTACAACATTGCAGTGCTATTAAAATGAAGATAATGTATTAAAATTGCATTTATTTAGAAAAACAACATTAAAATAAGCATTTTTAGCTCCTTCTATTGTCTTTTAAATCTCTCTCCCTTTCATTTTGGTGGTTTTTGATTACAGAAATTAAACAAGATAATCATTATGGAGCTTAATTATTTTGAAATAATTTCACTTGCTTAGTTTTCAATTTTTTTCTATTATATCTGTAATTTGTTTCTATTTTTGATTATTTAATTTCTATCCACTTTTTATGATCCTTTTGTAATGTTATTTTGATTTTTGTCTCAATTATGTGTGTTTGTGTCTGATGTTTCATTTTCTACTCCCCCTTAAAAAAAAAAAAAAAAAAAAAAAAAAAAAAAAAAAAAAAAAAAACACTTTCTGTAATCATTTCAAAATATTTAATACATGTCAAAGTTCTTTACAGAATTTATTTATTTTTTCTCCCAGTTTTTTTCGAAAGTTCTAATTTTCCCCTCTCCATTTTTATAGACTTGACTTCCCAAAAACTGTTCTGGGCAGATGCTAAATTTCATGTTCTGTGCAGTGCGAATTATGATGGCTCTAACCAACGTGTGATATTGTCATCTGTCCGAGATGTCAAACATCCATTTTCTTTGGATGTATTTGAGGTATGGATTTCAAATTTGCGTCTTGTTCTGCCTTAATAATCTGAAATTTATTTGATCATACAACATTTTGGTGTGCTGCAGTCAGACAGCTATCAATGTCACTGGATATTTTTGCATAAAATAAATCACTTGCATAAAATAAATCATACATTATGACTATCTACACTCTTACCGAAAAATGGACAATTTCGTTAATTGGCAAAAAATGCTTGTGCCATTTTTCATTTCATAGGTATTGGTATGTTCATAAATGGAAAAAAAAAAAAAAAAAAAAAAAAGAAAGAAGAAAAGAAAAAAAATTTTTATATGGAACAAATTTTAAGGAGAAAACATTTACATGGTCTGTCTATATTTACATTTTTACTGGGGTATGTAATGTTTAGTGAAATAAGGGTCAATTATAAAGTGTGTAAATCTGCATGCACTCAGACTTATGCATGCAGAGGCATAGCTAAGGTTTTCAGCACCCAGGGACACCTAAAGATTTTGCGCCCCTTTCTGTGTTCCAAGAATGGAAAGCATTTCATTCTGAAATGTGTATCATCAGTTTGGCACCCCCTGAATGCTGCACCTGGGGATGGATGTTCCCCCTTGGCCCACCCTAGCTACACCACTGTATGCATGCATGAGTTTATTTCTTGCGCATGTAGTAAAAATATGCTAGAAATGCAACAATTGTATTAAATATTAAATCTGGAAGTGTGGATAATCAGAATGTACCAAAAAAATATTTTCGGTTGGCAGTCTTAACTAATCTACGGGTTCTTGCCTGGTTAAAAAGGATTTCATGATGCTGAGGCGGGAAAGGATTTCATATTAAAAAAAAAAAAAAAAAAAAAAAAAAATCGCCGAATGGAGTGCCATTGTCAAACTATAAAACTGGGGTGCCATGCTTATTGTCATAGTGTCTCAGACTACTTGGCAGTACATGCAAGTCATTTAGGTGTCATAATTGTTAGTCAAAATCTTTATCTTTTTTTCATCTAGTATTTTAAAATAAAAAAAACTAGGTAATTTCTCATTAACTTCCTCCCTACAAATATTCACTAACTTCTTGGAATGCAGCAACTATGAACAACAAAAAAGCTGGATGTGAACACTGGAATGTGAACTGCAAGTATAATTATGCAGACCTAAAAAGTAATATCTACATACAACATGCTAAATAACTTTCAAATTTGTTCAGTTGGTGAAACAAGGAGCACTGAGGAACTGCATGACATCCTATCCGGACCTAAATTTATATAGCAGAAATCCAAGAGAGCAAGGGAAAAAGTCTGTTTCCAAAATATTTAGTGGCCGTAATTAAATAATATGCACTGCATGTAAAAGTGAACATATTGATGATAGAGTTCCCCCCCCCCAGAACCAGGGTACCTTTTAGTGAGATTAAAATTTTTTTCTCAACTTAATATGCCAAAGGGAAAAGCCATTTTTGAAATGGAAATATACTATGAATTCCACAGAAAAGCAGTCGGTCAATCAGATTTAAAGAGTAAGAATGAAGCAAATATAAATTAAAACTTGCATTACATTTTTTTCTTGATTAGCAGCAGATTATGACTTGCATTTAATTTTGATACATATCAAGAACATGGGGAAAACGCCTTCCATTTTCTGTTTATATTTCCAGTGCCATGCATATTCAACAAAATAGGAATCAAAACACACAGAAACAAAATGAAATAAACTGAAATTCAAATTAGTGCTCATTTTGTGTTTTTTAACCACATCATCAAAAAGAATCCTAAAATTAAATACTCATCAATATTTGTTGTAATATTGGTTTATTCACTGACACAAGAAAGAGAGCCTTTTTCTTCAACCACAGCTTCAACAAAAAGAATCCAAAAATTTTAATATGCATTCAAAATTCATTGCAATTTTGTTTTATCCAGTGACAGAGAGAACAGATGACTTTTAATTCAAGGAAATGCATGCCTGCAATACAAGCACAAAACAAATTACACTTGTACCAGGATAATTTTCAAATTTAACTTATCTCTTGGATACCAGTCTTGTGCTGATGAGTTGGTTTAATGGTGCAGCATTCGAGATAAATAAAAAGCTAGATACATTCAGCATTTTATCACCGTTTTGGTGGTTTACAATAGAAGAGTGTGCCAGAATATTATTGCAGAATTATACTGAATTTTTGTTTTTCTTCCCTCATAAAATTTCTTATTTTGTATAAAATACTTCTTTTTATCATTATATATAACTACTACTTACAAGCCATAAAGATAACTAGTGAATTGATTGGCAATTTTTGGTGGATATGTGAATGATCACTTTTTTTCAGTAATTAAATTGCCTATACTTATATCTTAAACTGTGAACTGTTAGGTAGTTTTTTAAAAGGAGGATTTTCTTTCAAAGGATTGGCTGTACTGGACAGACTGGGAGTCGGAGAGCATTTACAAAGCCGAAAAATTCTCTGGTCAGAACGTTCAGAGTGTTGTGAATGGCGTTTCCTCACCAATGGGTCTAAGAGTATATCACAGTTATAAACAACCAAAAGGTACAGACAGAGAGTATTTTTATATATTTATTTTTAAATTGGCATAAAATTCCCCCCTTTCAACAATTCCTTGATAGCTAATATAATGATAATTAATAGCATAATTGATTGTAAAGAAAAATGAAAGTGTCTTTACTGTTCTTTTAAAGGACCAAACCATTGCATGCCTAATAATGGTGGTTGTTCTCACCTGTGTTTACCATCTCCTAAAGTTACAGAAGGTTCAGCAAAGTTCACATGTGCTTGTCCTGATGGATTGGTAATGGCTGATGACATGCTCCACTGCATTGCTGATGGTGAGTAGTAATGTAGGAAAATATACCCTTCTTTTTAATATGCAAGATAAAATTTTAATTTGCTGTAGTTGCTTAGTTCTATTTTAATTTGGTTATTTTACTTTTCGATCCAAAAAATAGTAGCTGCTCATAATAAATCTCTAAACCTCATTATCTCAAAATCAATCCATGTCATGTGATTTTTGCATCTGAAAAAAGGGGAAAGGTGAAATAGCCAGTTTGTGCAAATGCAGATAGAAATAGTATTGTTTCTTACCTGCCAACTGACTGGCGAAACCAGCATACTCCTGGTTTTTCATCATATCCTTCCTTTTCCTGCTAGATCTCCAAATCTCCCGATTTTACTAAGAAAAATGTTTTCAATCAGGTCTCCCTCGCGTAATGAATTTCAACTTATTTTCTCTTCTTAATTTTTACTTGGCCTGAATTGTCTTAATCTATTGTAGACATTGGCAGAACATTTTTATTCAAGACTGAACCAAAATTTCATTAATTAATATTTGTATTTAATTTTATTTTGTATCAATTAATGATACATTACTAATTTTATCCATATATTAAGTATTGATTTTATTTTCATTTAACTTAAAAGTACTTTGATAAATAAAAGCATTCTTTCCTTCCTGCCTCATTTCTTCGTTTCTTTACTCATTTTCTCTTTTCTCGTTATAAAATGAAATTAGCCAAAGAAAATAAAATGTAAAATATCAAATTAAGCATTAATGTATTTTATATGGGAATTATCTTTTAAATAGTTTAATAACTTGAACTATACATTATACTGTGAATCAGCCTGCAACATGAAAAACTCAATACACAGTTTTTGTATTTCACGGTTGGCAGATACTCAGTTTTCTTTATGTATAATTGAGTTATAAAAGGCAGTAATGTCAGAAATCTGAAAAACTGTGATAGCCTTCTTGGCTAAAATATCTTCTTCTATAATATATTGTCAAGTATATATATTTTATATATTATATAATATATTGTATAATATATTCTTCTATAATATATTGTCAGAAAACCCACATTGTGAAGAAATCCATTACTGGTCCCTAATGTAATGTTTTGAGGTTGTAATATCTATCCTAAATTAGCATAAATATTTTGCTTTAGGTGCAGAAAATTGATAGCCTGTTTTCTATAAATATGCTTTTCTCTACCTGAAATTAAATTACTACTACTGACATTAGCAGTTCTTTTTGCCCTATTCAGAAATTTCTCTTTAGCATTTCTTAAAATGTCATAAGTTGCCATAATGCTGATTGTAGATTATATTCTCATATATTTTATTATATTATTTAAAAAATATTTTGCTTTAATGTATTTTATTCTATCTTTGCTAAAGAGTGTAAAATCTGATAGAAGCTAGATTATTTATTTATAATATATTTCTGTAACTCTTTGAATGTATTTCAAGATGCTCATATATATATATATATATATATATACTTATATATATACTTCTCAAAAAACATTACAAAAAGTGTTTTAGGACATATTATATGTGTGGCCTAGCCAGTTAGAGGGTTAATTGACTAAGAAACTTACTAGTTCTGAAAATTTACTAGTACAGCGGTTCTCAATCATTTGACTTAACATGTACTGCCTAAACAAAAATTGCAAACCTTTAGTACCACCATCACTCTTGAACAAAGCTCAGATCACATAAATTTATGAGTGTTAGAGAAAAAAAATCAATCAGGATGCTGGGGTTATAATTTTTGATTTTAATAGTTAAAAATATGTTGCTTCTTTGTGTACCACCTATTTTTCTCTTGCATATCACTGGTTGAGAACCCGTGATCTAGGATTTTTAAAGCATAAGCATGAAACATCCACTGGGAACTTAAGCTTAACAGTCACAGCTGGACACAGCTTTTTGGATCTGCTCACAAAGATCTATGTTTAAACAGCATATATTGGTTAAATTTGTATAATTACTTATTTTAATTTCTGTTTTCATAAACTTCCATTCATTTAAATGGTATTTACATCATAAATGAAAGTAAGAAAGCAAAATAATTTAAATTATAAACTAGTATATGCCAGGTGACAAAAAATCGCATGACCAGATAAAAGTGGTAATGCCACTCAGGGTGTTAAAATCTGCATATTAAAAATTTATATAAATTGGCTTTAATTGTGAAAAATCAAAATTAGAATTGACAAAATTCTGCAGCTGAGGTGCTTAATATATGACATTATTATTTAATTATGCTATCAGTATATTATACATTTGTATAGTACTAAATTTCTTATTTTACCATAAACAGTGTACTGTTATAATTTAGTTGATAAGTTGTGAATCTTATGCCATACATAACGGCAACAGACTGCAGAATTTTCACTTTTCCGAGCTGCGTAAATGGCCATTTAATAACATTGTATTACTATTTCTGATGTCCACACTTAAAAAGTTTGATTTTGCAAAGCTAATCAAATCAGAATGAATTTTTTTTTATTCTGTTTTGCCACTGTTTCCTACAAACAACATTTAAGATGAACATTCATCAAACTTTTATTTATGAATAAACAGTATAATGAATGTTTGTCTTTCCTTGCCATCTTTTAATTATTTTTCCATAATATCTACTGCATTACTACTGAAAGGAAAAAAAAATCAATATGGAATTAAGCTGGTAAATGAATAAATAAATAAATAAATAATGATCCAAAAAATAAAAATAAAAAATAGAAAGCAAAGCTTATTTGCTTCAGAATATCTTAAAAAAAAAATATTTAAGATAATTTTTATCTAATTTCTGTTTAATTCTGTTTTAATTCTCTCATAAATTTATTGTTTAATTATATACCAATTCTAAATAAAACCTATTACTCTATATAGCAGAAAATTAGAATAACAAAGTGGATTTTTTTCATTATTAATTATATTTTTTTCAATTATAATTTAAGAAACTGTTGTGTGGTTAAATGGTCCACTATCTAAACATCAAATAATTTTTTTAAATTCTACATAATCATAACAGTCATTTTGTTTAAATATAATATATGATATTGCCTCTTTTATTTATCCCTTTGCTTTAACATTTTGTAATGTATTTTTATTTTAGAATTACCAGTTACAAAGTCATCTTCCAGCGTGAGGTATTCTTCGACACAAAAGTATATGCCTTTTTCAGTGCCGACACCGGCTCCCACACAGAAACCCAGTCCCACCACTGTTACAGTTCCTCATATCAAATCGTACACTTATTCTACCATGCCTAAAAGGAACAATACAGGTAAGGAGGAACTGAAAAATATTTTCAAATCAAAGCTGTTGTCTGTAGAACCATCAGATTTTTAATTACTAATAGTTCTACGAGCTTTTACTAGTAAAAATAAACTCAACTTTTAGGTCAAGCAATTATTTTGCACATTGTTAGGTTGTTTTTTTATCTATGGGGGAGGTGGTAATTTCTAAAATTAGAAGTGTTGAAGCTTTGTGAAAGGCCATGAAAAGCAGAGAAGAAAAGTCAATAATTAGAAATGAATAAAATATAAAGATGTACAATATTTACTCTAAAAAAAATAATCCTGAAATGCAAGACTATTCCTATATTTTAGAACAGAAAAAAAGGGGGGATTAAGGTTTCAGATTTTAACTGTTATACCAAAGTGTTTGTTATGTTTTTTTATGCTCTTGCTGAATTCACAGTCTACCATTCTGTTGTTGCGCTCACTCCTGCTAACCCATTATTTTTTGCTTTTTTGCTTTATTATTAAGCATCTTTTTTTGCACTTATGTCATATTCAACAGCAAAATGGCAAAAAATATAATAGTATAGCAGAATATATTTACAATTCTCGATGCATTCTTAATTGTTGGCAAAAATTTTTGTACTTTTTTCAGTCTTATCTCAGTTTATCATATCAATATTTAGTTTTATTAGTAAGATGGTTTACAAAAATTATTATTATTATTTACTTTTTATGTGTTAACTTTATTAAATGTCACATTCTTTACACTTATGCTCCGTAAAATCCAGTTCAACAGCAAAATCACAAAATATTTAAATACAGCACATCTTTAGAATTTCTGATAGACAGTCTCACATGCTGGAGATAAAAATGTTTTTTTTTTTTTTTTTTTTTTTTTTTTTTCTGTACAGTGTTGCCATTGTTCGCTTTGAAATCATAGTGTTTGTTAATAAAAAATTTACAAAATATGAAATGGGCAATATAACAAATTCCAAATTCGGGCTTCTGGGTGCCCATTTTCGGGTGGAGGAATGTGTTATTCAAAATTTGATGATTCTAGGTACCATAGTTTTTTCAGTGTGAGAAACATACATACATTTATGTAGATTCTTCTTTATATAGTTTCTTTAAATATAATACAGGCTAATAATATTTGGTGACAACAGTTTGAAAAGTGAACATTTAAAGTGATTTCTTGAAAAATGCTGTTTCGAAACTAATAGACCTTCTTTCTGGGTTAATGCTCCTTTGGGATGAAAATTCTGCTGCATCTTCTATATGGGGAGTCTGAATTAAAAAATTTATGCTTGTTCCAGATGCCTGCCTACCCTCTTCCCTACAGTGACAGAACTGTTATGAGAATATTTCTCAGAACTGCCAATTAAGGGGAAATGTGATAAAAGTGGCATGTTTTGGTGAAGATTTTGAAGCCTTTTGTTCACTTTCAGTCTGTCTTCTCAGCAGTTTAAAGAAAAGGGCAATTTAGCTGTCAAGGATAGATTATTAATTGCACGGGAAGTGTTTCAGTGAAAGCATGTAACTGTGATCTCAAATTCACAGATGCATGTTATGTAATAAGGGCAGCTTGGATCACACGAGAGGCTTATAAGTTGCTCAATTTAAATAACTATTTATATCATTTCAAAGTATGTGTGCACGTTTTGCTTAGCTAAGTTTCTGAAGAAATTTTTCAAAGGATTTCCAATAACCAGTCTCGCATGCTAGAGATAAAAATGTTTTATTTCAAACAGTGTTGCCAATATTCACTTTCAAATCTTTGAGTTTGTTTATAAAAAATTCATGAAAGTTTTACGAACTATTGAATAAATAATAAAGCAAATTCAGAATTCAAAATTTGGCTTTCCAGGCGCACATGTTCAGGTGGAGGACAACGTTATTCAAAATTTGATGGCTGCTGTCATTTTTTCAGAATGTGAGGAACACACTTGCAGATTCTTCATTATTTAATTTCTTTAAAAATAATACAGGGTAATAATATTTGGTGAAGTCATACATACATGTATACATTGAGCAAATTTATTATCTTAATTGGTACTTGTAAAAACTATGACTTTTTAGTGTTTTTAGTATCTGAATCTTTGAGCTGTTATAAAAGTTTTGAAATTTTGCTGATGTATTCTATCTTTGATTAAATGAATCTTAATAATTTAATTTTGCATTTCAAAATAAGTTATTAAATAATTAAATGCTTAATACTGTAAATCAGAAATGACCTAAAACTTGACTACAAATCCTGATCCCCTCCTTTTATTTCATTTCACTCACTAGAGTTCTGTTGATAAAAACACTCACTAGAGTTCTGTTGATAAAAATGAGAAAAGTAGTCTAGGTTTAAGATAGAGCATTATCAGTTGATTTGCTAATAATAGCATTAATTTCACCCTTTAGAGCTTTAGAATAAAAGTGGAACAATACGAATGAATTTACAGCACACATATCTAATATTCTAAAAAATATCACTGTAAGCCAACCTTGTGTTCCTCAACCACTTGAATAAGTGGAACAGTTCTTATCAAATTCATCTACACTCCTCTTTTGTCAAATTCTATACCTCTATAATTCTGGTTTTCCTCTGTGAACATTGGTTTCATATGTATGATGCATGAATAAAAGCAAAATAACTGCTTTTCTTTTCTTAGGAATGTATGAAATAAGTGTGATTTCATTAGTAAAACTGTACAAAGAACTAGAAATTTTTCTTGCTTGTTCAATTAATATTTTTTGGGGATCTCTTTTTATTTATTTATTTTTCAAAGTACCTATAAATGTAAAACCTTTTATTTTTAAAACAGTTCACTAACTCTGTTGATGAAGTTGTTTGCAGTTGTGTTTCTGTTTATATGTTTTAATGAGTCAAAGAACAGCTTGTCTGGGTTTACCCAACTTTTTTTTTTTTTTTTTTGTCTTCATTACCCATCTCTATCAGAATCTTCCCCACAATATATTTATGCATCATAAAGCTCTAAAAGATACACAGTTTTTAATCCATACTTTGCCTTTTCTTTTTTTCATGTACATTTTATATTTGCTACATTCGTCTGAATTTCTCTAGTATATCGTCAACAAATGCATGCTTCCCAACAGAATGCATATGCTGGCAAATTTTTATGATAGCATAGCATATGTTTTAGCTAGAAGCTGCTTTATTATATTCCATGCACTTTTTTCTTGTTTTAGAATTATGAGACCATAAGATTCAAGAAAATTAAAAAAAAAAAAAAAAAAAAAAAAAAAAAAAAAAACCTTTGAAGTTACACATTTAGATGTGTATTAGTACCTCCTGTACACGGCGTATTAGTACACGGCAGGAGGTATTAGTACCTCCTGCCGTGTACCGTCAGCAACAAATAAACAATCAACATCTTCACAGTTTGTTAGCTTATTTTTTCAGGATACTTCAGACCAGGAAGCAAGATGATAATATTGTAGTTTGGTGTTCTTACAGCATGGTTTGCTTCTTTTTCACACCATTTGAAATGATTTTTTCCATAAAAGTTATTACCTTGTTAACAATCATTTAAAAATTTCTCATCTTCATCCCCAGAAAGCTCTTGTTTTTTGTTTGCTGTCAGTAATACATTTTTATTCAGAATCAGAATATTCTAAATCTGAAAAATTATTCACAGGATCTCTGCTTTCGTTTTGAGTTAGGAATGCGGGATATTTTCTTATAGAATTTGAAGCCATAATTATCACTTCTATGGAAAAAGAGCATCAGATAAGTAGCATCTATCACTCCCAATGACTGCTGGTATGCAACTGCTGTGAGCAGTCTCCTAGATTGTTTAAAGAGAAAACGTGGGGTAACTAAATAAGCAGCAAAGTTAAAAAAAAAGGGGGGGAATATGTGACCTTGACTGTTTCAGAATATAATAGAAGGGTAGTGACTGTGTTCCATTTTTAGAGGTGAAAATGAGATTCAGAAAATTGAAGTCGTCTCTTAGACTGCACACATCAGTTAAAGGTTAAGTACAGATTAAATACAGATTAATGAAAAAATATACAAAATCATTAGCGATACACTGATACCTATTTGTTTTCAGGCATAGCAATAAACAGTGAGATAGATGTAGGCCTAAACTGAAATTGTTCAACTAATTGTAGGTGTATTTATGTAATTTATGTTTTGTTATGCAGTTGTTATATGCAGTTATGGCAGCCATTATAATAGTAATTATATATGCTATTTACAAAGTTAATTATTCACTGTGGTTTATAAATAAACCTGTTTAACTGCTAACATATTTAAAGAGTGTAATTATTCCATATAGTATAATAAACTTCTTATTCTCATTCTTTCATTTCATTTAGCAAAATATGCATTTAAAAAAACCGTACCTAATTTTAGAAATTGTAGGAAAGAAAGAGGGTTTCATTTAATGCAACAGATAAATGCAACATGTGTTGCCCATATGCTAAAGTGTTATTTAATATGTAAAAACATTTTAATAGTTTTTATCACTATATCTTAGGTTTGAATTTAATGAGATTGCTATTATATGGCTTTACTGGAAATAAATGTATTATGTATTTTATATAATATTTGATCATTAAATAAACTATATCTCATTTTGTGCATTAATTCTGTTATTATGAAGAATGTAATTAGAATCTTTTAATGGTCTACTTTACAAGCTTAATTGTTACCCTCAAAAAAACTTGAATCTTCAAAATAGATTCAAGGAAAGCTCAATAATGCTTTCATCATTATTGGGCATCATTTAATGCTTATCCACATTCAGCATTTGTTGTTAAGTGTCTTTTGTTCTTTAATGGGTAAACACCATCTAGTAAATTTAAGGACAGAAAATCTATAAAATAAAATTATTTAGGAGAGAAATTCCACGATTTTACAGATATCTACATTGATTATATAACCATCCATTGCAAATTCACTGAAATACATATCTTTTAAATGTTTACTGAGTTTTGCAGTGTCTTTCCCCCCTAGAATTGACTAGAAAGCAGTTGAGTTATGAATGCAGAAATAGTGAGCATTTCATTTCATGGTCTATCTGCT